GGGGGGACAATCTCCCCCCCCCCCCCCCCCCCAATTCCCCAGGGGAGGGGGGAATCCCCCAGTGTGGAGTCAGGCTGGGGGACAGCCTGTCCAACACCCGCCCGCCATCAGCTCCCTGCTCGGCGGATCGAGCCCCGTGCTGCCTGGCTCCGGTGAGGAGAAAATCGAACCGGGGCGGGGGGGGGGAAATATATATATATTAAATGGGTGGGGGCTGCTTGGAATCGCAATCAGTCCCGCTGCAGCCTCCTCCCCAAATCCGAGGGGCAGACAAGTTTAGATCCCCCCCTCAGCCCCGTCCAGCGGCCCTTCCCGGTCTCATCCTCCCTTCCCACGGCCCAGGCTCCGTCTGGCCGGAGCTTAAGTCCCTCCTTTTTTTCTCTCCCCCCCCCCCCGCCCCTCCCCTTCCCTAATTATGTACAAAACACTTCTTAGAATAAAATGGCCAGGCTGGGGCTCCTCCCTGCTTTCCTCTTCCCCATTCATCCCCTCCAGACCGCTCCAAGCCCCTCCCCCGGTGGCAAGCCCAGCCTCTCGCTTCCCTCCTGGAGCCCTTTTCATTTTTATTTCTAACCCCCTCTCCATTCTCCCTGCTGCCTCTGCTCCTTCCCCCGATGGCTACGAACTGAGCAGCAGAAGAGAGGGGGGGGGCACAGAAATAAGGGAAGGGGGGAAAAAAGCAAGAAAAAAGAAAAGGAAGAGGGGGAAAAAAAGGATTTTTTTTTTTTTTTTTTTTTTTTTGCCTCTGCCCTTAATGCCCGCGATCTGGATCAAGGAAGGGGATTTTCTGTCTGAGCATGAAAAGGACTGCTAGAGCCCCAGGATTTTCACGCCTGCATTATCAGCCCAGCACCCAGTATGCGAGCTGGACAGAGAAGCTCTCCCACAAGTTCCTACCGAGCCGAATAAAACCCACGGGCGACCAGATCTCCTCCAGAGAGGGACATTAGCATCAGGTAAGGCGAGGGCTGCGCTGCGGCTGCAGCGATGTCCCTGCCCCGGCTGCGGGCGCCCACCGGGCTCCCCCCCGTCCTGCCTCGGCCGCGTTGTGTAACGCGCCCCGCGGCACCTCTCCGCCCCCGGCCGCGCACACGTTCGCCTCGGCGTTGCACCCCCCGCCCTGGGCAGCACGGAGTTATTGGGGGGGGGGGGGGGTTGGATGGCAGAAGTCCCGCAGCCCGGTTAGCGATGGTGTGTGTGCGTGTGTGCGGTGAGCGTGGGGCCGGGATTCGGCGGCACTGGGAAGACTGGGAGCACTGGTTGGTAGCGGGGCGAGACGCAGCCCCTGGAGGATGCCCGGTAATAGGGGTTCAGCCCCCCCCGCCCCCGACTCGGCTGGGCTGGCGGCGAAGCGAGGGTGGAGGTGTGTGGGGGGGGAGGTAGCCAGGATCCATCTGTATTCCGGAGTATCGATACATCCCGGAGCGGGGGGGGGGACCGTCCCCAAGGAGATGGTGTCATCTCCACTTAATCCACTGCTCCGTTTTCGCAAGTGACAAATCCGCAAATCGCGGAGGAAAAGGAAAGTCTGTCGCCTTGAATCCCACACTGGGCTGATTGCCTTTACTTCTGGTGGGGACTGGGAGACAGCGGCAGAGCCGGGGGAGGGCAGCGATGGCGGGGGGAAGGGGGGGGAGCTGCATCCACAGCGCAGGAGATTGGTTTTCCCCGGCTCAGCTCTCAGCGCTGCTTGCGAGGCTGGTTCTGGAGCATAACTTTGCCTTTTCCAGTCCGTGGGGAGTAGGGGGACAGAGGGCATCTCCACGCCATTACATCATCCCCGAGGTCCAGCACAGCCTGGGTGTAAAGACCCAGCGATGATCCGAAGAGAGGAGGGCTGGAGGTGTGAGCGTGTCTTTTGGCTTTGGAGAGTCCTTCCGTGCTTTTACTTGGGAGTGGGGAAGGGGAGGGGGTGCAGTCTCCTCTTCATGGAGAGAAACAAGCAGCAGATGAAATGCTGGCGGTCTTAATGTATGAATTTAGCCTTGTGATTGGCATCTGCACTAGGTAGGACAGAAGGTTCCTTCATGCTTTACTCTGGCTGCTCATCTGGGTGCATAATAATAATTTGTTAATGGCAGTAAAGCTGCTTTCCCAAGAGTTGTAGAGAAGTATTTGGGGGATGGTGAGCGGAGGAGGTAATGAGTAAAGAGGAGATGAGGCTTTGGTGTAAGAAATATGAAAGGATTTTTTTTTTTAAATTCCTTATAAAGGAAAAAGATTGATCAGATCTGCTTGTGAGTGACAGACAGACAAACCCGGACTCTCTCCCTCCCACACACCACATACACAAGCAGTCGTGGTCTCCCTCGCATGCATGTACACGCTAAGCACAGAAAACACACGCTGTCGAACTCACACAGTCCACCCCATGCTTAAACGCAGCATCTTGGGCTTGCTCTCCCATGGATGCAAGCACCGATTCAAGCTATGCAGCCCCGCAGTTCCCCTGCACTCAGACACACAGGCTTGTTCTACACATGAACACACACCGTAACATGCAGAAATAACTGCATTGATATTCTTATTATGTGAATCAAACATTCAGACATTCACATGAGCGTACACATGCCGTCTTCTTTGCAGGTCTCTCAGTAGGTGGTTTGTTCTTCCAGCATAGTCTTCTCCCTTGTAGTTAGTTCCAGGCATTGATTTGGGGTTTGTCTGACTCCAAAGCCCTTTGCGACTCAGCAGAAAAAGCCTGCTACATTTTCTGTGTCTACCTTTGTTTTACTGCTCTTTGCATGTTCCCAGGACTCAGTAATGATTTCGCTACTGGAAAGGTAGACAAGCAGCAGACAGGGGACCAGGCGAATGGCTGGGGGGAGCAGTGGCAATCCCATACCCATCATGCCCTCTCTGATCAAGAGCTGGAGTCTGTGAGTATGGGAAGTGCTCTGCTAGAGTTACATTGCTTTTTTCCCTGTGTGAGTGTGTATGTGAGCAAAACCACAAATGCATTTATAGCTAAAACATGCAGTGCAAGGCTCCACTTCAGTCTTACCTTGGTTCAGAGCAAAACCCTCCCATCCTTAGAGTACAAATACTCCTGTGCCTTTGGAAGCCCCTTTGATCAGAAACGGCATAGTATGCGCAGGGGAGATGATGTCACTGGTGTTAGATGTATTTAATCAACATCCTCCTCTGACCTTCCTCCCCTTCCCCTCTTTCTGTAGGGCCTAGTGAGGAGACTGTGCAACCCTCCAAGAGCAGGAATATAATGAGGCCGACTAAAGTCTGTGTTAAAACTTTGGAGAGGAGGAACGTATGGTGAATTGGCTTGCTATAGGTAAAAGGTGTCCCGCAAGAGATGACGGAGAGAGTATCTCTGTTCCCTCCTCACCTCCGCTGTTTACTACGTTGGAAGTATGTGTAAGGCTGATGCTAAACACTACGTGGGAATGGGTCTGCCAGCAGACAATAATCATTGATGTCTGTGTAACAGAAATAGTTCAAAGCCAAATCCTTCCGTCTTTGCTCAGGCAGAAGTCCCGCTGCCTGCTCCGAGCGCGTTGCTCAGGGAAGCGCTGCAGAAACTGACTCCAACCCCGAACTGGCGCAGCCGTACCCGTCTCCCTGCCCACCTCCAGAAACGGATGTGGCTTTCTAGAGTTTAGCCGGGGCTCTCTGCCGACGCGGTATCTACAGCTGATGCAGAGACGTTGAGAAGGCAGGAAAAAAAAAAATTACAAAAAAAAAAATCGCTAAAGATCAAAAATGAGGGTGAAAAGCCCCCAAAGCCCCCCGAGCCATGACATTCGAAAACCGGGGCGGATCCCCCCGCGGGAAGGACACCCCCACCCCTCCCCGGCCTCCAG